TCTAGCCGATGCTGTAACCGAACTTTTTTTTCCAGTCGACTTGACTTATACATATCGCCCGATGGGTCGCACAATACTATCTGCAAACAAACAATGTTGCAGAACAAAGAGAAACTCTCACCATATTTGTACTTTTAGGGTTAAATTCGCAGTTTTTCCATACGTTAAAGCGTGATTAAAGCGCTCTCCTACAGAATTGGAAAAAAACTAAAATCATCGGCTTGCATATTCATACTGTAGAATGCGACAAAGTCACTAACTCATTTTTAGCAAAATTATTAGTTAGGTGATATTGTTCGTTAGCCATCGATACACAGGTGATATTGTTCGTTAGCCATCGATACACAACTCTGTCACCAGAAGCTTTTCGTCAATATTATTGGGCAGAAAAGTGGAGATATGGCAACTATTTATTAAATGTAGCCACGCGACGAACGCCTCACAGTGATGATCGCGTCGTGAAGATGGAAAGAAAAGGATGTTATTAGAGGGTTGGATGAGGAAGAGAGAAAGGGAAGGAGAAAGGGGATATCACGATGGGAACTTGACCTTTGGAGGTACCTTAAATACGATAAAAAGAGTAAAGAGCACCAGCGCTATATAAATTAGATCGAAGGAATCAGAAATTTGACCGCGCCGATACTCTCCACGCCACTGATGTTTCTCCCCTAGGCCCCAGGTGGCGCTGTGTTGCCAAAACGTAAAACCAATATTTTGAGAGATATTCCACTTATCATTATTCGGCGTTTCCAAGATGAAGGAACGTAGTTTCATCCCAAGATCGCAAAATTGACTCAAAGAATTCAACTTTTTACGGGAGTATGAATGTGCATTTTTTGTTCAAAATTCTGGGGAATTTTTCTCACGATCAGCAGAAAAATCAGTGAAGTTTTCAGATAAAAACGCCGTACGGTTTTCTCGTTGAAATTCAGTTTTTAAAAGCAAATTTGGCAATGTCGAAATATGGTTACGTATACTTTCTTTTAAAAAAACAACGTATTGACAACCGTGTGATTCCTTAAAATTATGAAAAGGCACTAATTTGGAGACTTAAACGCACGGATACAAAAGTAGAGGAGATATCCATAATGAGATCCATAATCCATAGAGTCCAGACCCTCAAAAACATCGACAAGAAAAAATACTCTTGATTGAATAAGATTTAAGCTTAAATCAAGAACCAAGCCTCTTAATTTGAGCGGATTTCCTTTTAAGCTTAAATCTGATTGAATCAAGAATCCTTTTTCTTGTCAATGTTTCAAGAGTGTGGACTCTAGATCCAATGTGTTTTTTTTTCCAGTGAAGAGTGCAGGGGTATGAAAAGGCATGAACCGAGGCAACATACTCCTTGTGGTTTTGACAGGACCTAACGAAACTCAAATGAATTTGATAACAAAATGATGATATCGTCACCTCCTGGCCGAAGTATCACGAGCGCCATGCGACGTTTCAAAATTTCCGCCGCCATTTTATTTTTTTTACAGAGAATTTCTTCAACTAACCTGTCCGAAAATTTCACTGAATTTAATCGGCAGCACAAAAAAAAAAAAATTCAGTGATATTTTCGGACAGCTTAGTTGAACAATTTCTCTGTAAAAAAAAATAAAAATGGCGGCGGAAATTTTGAAACGTCGCATGGCGCTTGTGATACTCCAGCCGGAAAGTGACGATGTGTGTTTTCATTTAATCAAAAATGAACACTAACGATGAATTCAATGAAGAACAAAACGGCTAAGATATAGTTCTCTGGCATCTACGCTTTTTCTATGTTTATACTCCTCCTCCACCTTTAAAACTACAAAGCCGCTATTATTAACCACTTTAAGCCGGCAATGAAAGATCAGTACAATCTCTGATAATCGATAAAGTCTCAATAAAAAACGGTTTACTAAGGAGCACCTCTTGTAAGGCATTATAAAGACGGTAAGATGAAGTCATATTTAACTTGGTATGTCAGGTCAGCGCTACTACGCATGAAAACCCTACCGCCTACGGAAATGTTTTCATCGTGACCGATTACTCCTCTGACGTAAGGGCGTATCTCCGTTTCCACTTGAGCCCCGAAAAGCATTCAGTCTTATGGAAAGCAGGGCTCACGTGGAAATTGACTTACACTCTCACGTCAGAGGAGCGACGGTTTGTGTGTACAGGCGCTAACCGCATAACCGAACGAAGAAAGAACAGTCGCTCATCACTAAATTACCGTCAACAAAGAAGCATGTCATCATTTCTTTAGCCCATTCATTTGAGTCTGGGAGGTCCTGTCGAAACCATAAGGAGCTAGATTCTTTATGTTTATGCCTCTCCATACCGCTGTACTCTTTAAGATACAATCATAATTAAGAAAACGAAATCCAATATCAAGCCTCAAGAAAATAGCAGCATTATGAATATCTTCTCTACTTTTGTATCCATGCGTTTAAGTCTCCAGAGTAGGTACTGATCATCATTAATTGGTAATTCGATGCAATTTCTAAGTTTGATTAAATGCAATCCAATTTCAAGCCTTAAGAGAAGCGTGGTAGTATGAATGTCCTCTCTACTTTTGTATCCACGCGTTTAAGTATCCTAATTATTCCTCCGATTATAATTCCTAAGTGGATGCAATCTATGAGGTTGATTAAAAGCAGTGGTTTCACAGGGATATTTAAGAAAACATTCGTTGATTTCACGGCTTTCTTTCCGGATTTTGAACGAAATTAGCCCCGTTATTACCTACCAAAAAAAGAAGAAAACATTATTTTCCGGAATTTCCGGGGGTAAATTTTTTGTCCCTGAATAAATCATGTCAATCCATTCTTCTTAACTGATCCCTAAATGCGCTTATTTGCCTAAAAGAACCAATGACACCTACTACTTGTGCCACACGCTGTGTAATACTGTTGCCCAATTATTAATCGTTAAAATTTCTGATCATCTTAATGGAATATTTCAGAAACTATACCTGCGCGTCTATTCTCCGATTCATTTCGTTTCTTTTCCGTCTAAAAGGCACATTTTCTCAATTGGCAAAATTTGAGGCACAAAATTATGAATATGTCGAATTGAACGTAAGTGGAAATTATGACATGCACTCGAACATTGGATTGCGTCAATAATCAGCGTTTTCAAATGAGATTGTAATTATATTCCAGTTTTGGGCGCAGCAAATTAGCGTTTAGATAAATTTCATTATATCTTAAAAATTATTGATTACCAATCATCAGATTACAATATGATAGGCTTTAGGGACCGAATATATAAAAGAGCGACGCCAAGAATGGCACAATTTGGGCCAGAAGGGATTTTTCTGAAACCGGGCCCAAACGATACCTTATGATACCCTAAAACTCTGGTAAAAATTTTAGCTTGAGTATACGCACCGTTTTTGAGAAATGGGGGGGGGGGCAAAGTTGCCAAATCGCCATCATTCTGGACAGCATTTTTACAGCAAAAAGACGGGAAAAATGGACGAAAAAGTTACACCATTGATGGGTTTGGGCTGTAAATGTTCTTATTGAGCCCCCGTGCATGTGATTGTCTTCAGTTTCAAAAATTTTGGACGTACAGTGGTCTAAAATGGGGAGAAATCGTGGACAGATAAGGATTCTTTGTCAAACTTTTTAAAAATGGAAGTAAAATTGTTGGTCTCCTACAAGGATCATGGGGAACAATGTTCTTATCGGTCTTCAATGCATTCAATTGGGTTCAGTTTATCAAATTTTCATCGCACAATGGTCCAAAATGGGAAATTAGTGGACAAATTAAGATCTTCTGCCTAAGTTTTTAAAAATGATGTACGACTATTGAATCCCAGTAAACTTTAGATCCCAGAAAAATTCTTTAAATTCTTTTTTTTTGACTATTTAAATCTTTTTTAAATTTTTTCTCTCCATTTTTCTTTCTTTTTTTTAAATTTCTGAAAGTTTGCATATTTTATTGAAATAATGCTACAAAGTCTATTCTATAACAACGTTCTATAAACGATACGGTCCGACATATATAAATAATTAAAAAAAAAATAAAAACATGAATTTTTCCGGGATTTAAACTTTACTGGGGACCAACAGTTTGACAGAGGATCTTAATTTGTCCACTAATTCCCCCATTTTTGACCACTGTGCGATGTACATTTGTGAAGCTGAACACATTTTCATGCACTGAGGACCAATAAGAACATTGTTAGCCATGAAAACTGCAGCAGACCGACAATTTTACTTCCATTTCTAAAAATTTGACAAAGAATCCTGAATTGTCGACGATTTCTCCCCATTTTGGACCATTGTGCGACCAAAATTTTTGAAACTGAACACATTTAAATGCTTGGGGGCCCAATGAGAACATTTACAGCCCAAACCCATCAAAAATGTAACTTTTTCGTCCATTTTTTCTGTCTTTTTGCTGTAGAAATGCTGTCCAGAATGATGGCGATTTGGCAACTTTGCCCCCTCATTTCTCAAAAACCGTGCGTATACTCAAGCTAAAATTTTAACCAGAGTTTTAGGGTATCATAAGGTATCGTTTGGGCCCGGTTTCAGAAAAATCCCTTCTGGCCCAAATTGTGCCAAAAAACGGTCGTTTTTGGCGTCGCTCTTTACAGTGTAAAAATAGCGGCGGCGAACGGTTCCTGTCTGTGGGCAACGAGCACAAATTGGCAGGGCGCTTGGCGTGCGAGCAGCGCTCCAAAAGAGTCCCAGCTAATTTGGACAGGGGGCAAATAATTTCTTTTCTACATAAAAATGCGAATTCTTCACAAAAAGAAAAGGAGAAAACCAAAGAGAGGACGGACGAAAAGAGATGCTCAAGCTTCATTCATTCATAGATAGAAAGGATTCAGACAGGTTATTTAATGTTGGCGAGAGAGACGCCACCATGCCAGGTGGATCGGCGTGAGAGAGCGCGAGAGAGGGGCGAAAGGGGGGACAGGGAGAGAGTGTCGAGTTGCACGGGGGAACTGGACCCCCGCACCGGGTGCTGTGCTCACGAGCTTGGGCAGAGGAGGGGACTCATATAAAGAATCAACATCAACTTCTAATACTTATTTGACTGGACGTGTCTGTACGGCAACCTCTATCAACCCGCTTTTTCGAGTCTTTTAGTTTTTAAGTTTTAGTTTAGTGTTTAGCAGCCATGGCTGTTCTCAGGATAACAGCCATGCTCCTCATCTGTGGTGCCAGTAGTTACGCCCTCCCGGCGGCTAGTCTAAGTTCCCCCGCGAATCTCAACACGCAGAATTCCATCCAGTCCCGGGACGATGTTTTCGACATCTACAGTGACTGCATCAACAAGGGTTCCGCCTCGTGTATTAAATATAAGTTGTTCTCGTTCGTAGATAAGATCCTTAGCAAAGATTCCTTCAGTTTGACCGAGGGTGTGACCGTTGTCAAGACCGCCAACGCCAACGGCTTCAGCGATGGTGCACCCAGGTCCCTGGAAAGTGAGACCAAGTCGGACGACTTGGAGAGCATGTTCCTTAACAGGGTGGAATCCTTCCTCAAAACCCACTCGCTCAAAGTTGACCTCCGGGGTAGTGATGTTTTGAACGCCGTCAACTCGGCCGGCAGGGCCTTCGGTGACGACGCCTCTTACGATGACTCTGATGCCCAGGAAACTGGAAGGAAGAAAGGTACGTTTCTCAGCTTACACATACGCTTATCGCCTTTATAAAGAGAGGAAAAACTATGGATCATGAATAATAACACGTGGGAAGCGCTTTTAAAAAAGATACACAGCATGGATACGTTTATACAAACGTCTATGGGTGTAAAACTGGAAACCAGTGACATATACATTAAAACGATAGCATAAACGTTGGCTCTTGTTTAAAATTTGCTACCATCTAATGGTATGTATCATCAATAGAACCGTTGACAATTGTGTTTTACGCAACGTAAAAAGGACAGATCAAAAAGGGCATTTAAAAAGCAACCTAAGACTACAGAGCTAATGATGAGAAGTCATTTTAAAAGAGGCTCCTTGAATTGATACTCTTGGTGGATTGAGGGAAGAATGCAATCCCCTGTTGATTCAAGATCAACGCATTGCCGCTTTTAAGTAGACTTGCGAGCCTAAGTTTAGCTATGGAAATTCCGCCTTAAATATTAATTATTAGACGCATTTTCGAAAAATTAACTTTTAATTCACCAGTTAATATTACCATGTGGAAACAATGTTCACTCAGTTTTGGAAATCGTTGAATCCTTTGGTGAAAAAGTTGTTTAAACTTAACTTCTTGTAAATGCAGCAAAAATTTGGGAGTCCTTAACGATTTATTTGCGTTTCCCTAATGATCCGTAGTTTTCCCTCCGTGTAAAATTTGTCAACCGCATCTCTCATCAAGTCCAGTTAAGTCGCTCGATATTCAAGATACTGCTTTATGTGAACTTGGTTGACCTCTTAATACGTGTTGTCATTTAAAATATTGCTGCATTTCACACACCTCTTGCTCAATGACAGCAATTTAAAGACTTCTGCTTTGAACATTTGTGCACATTTGATATGAGTTACGGATGGCAAATCAATTTTTGATTAATTTTCATTTCATTTTAGTTCCAACGTGAAGACGAGAGAACTGAAAAAATAATGCCGTGAATAAATGTACTTTATTCTCTTACTTCTTGTCTTGAATTAGTGTTACAAAGTTATAAATTGCAATTTACGTGTCCCTACTGAGGAAAAGCTTACGCTACCTCTTAGATACGTCCTCTATTTTCCAGATTCTCGGCTATTGAGCCACTATGTCTTTATAAAATGGTTATTTTTTATGAAATCGGTTGAATCACAATAGACATTGTAATTCCTTATTAGATATTTTACCATATTTACGATAAAAATTATTTAAATATAGTTTCAATGTCCTAATTAGTCAAAAAGTTGAAATGATAGCAAGAGTCTTTCCTATCTGCGTCATTTAATTTTAAAATTATGGAAAACGGAAAATAATCAGTGTCTTAAAGAAAGGGCTAGTGAGAAAAGGTTTTTACTCATGGCAATACTTAGCTCGCATTAAAAAAAACCTAAGGATACCAGCCACGTCATCATTCTATCGGTTTAACATATTAATGAATCAAATTTCAAATGAAAATTAATGTAAACTTAATGAATACTTGTTCACTCGTAAGAGTTGTCATCTTACACACGGGTGATAAATACATTATATTACCCGTATAAGACAGCATCGTATTGGCAGGATAGGCAACTTGTTTTACATGCGGAATTCAAATTGTCATGCATGATCCTCCTCTGGTGTAAATACAAATTTTAGATTAAATGGTTCAGCTTTAGTTAAAAATAATTCATAAAGAAAGTTTGCTCTTCAATTTTGACATAAAATCTTAACACCGGTGTTCTTGGCCCAGAATCTACTTATATTTCAAACCTTTTCACGATCAACATAAAGTAGAGAAAAGTAGCAACATGTTGGTTGCACCTGACATTATGGTCTCAATCAGACCCGAATTTAAACGCTAGCAACTCTTCCAGATGTTGTCAGATTTTAGATGAAAATTTCCAAAGTTTGGTGAAATCATGTTTCCGTATTTGCACAGTATTTTTTCATTTTACGCCACCCAGCATTGCTTTTATCAACTTGAGTGCTTCATTTCATCAAATACATAATATTCCTTTTTGTTGGTGTGAGGTGGTCCAATTTTGGCAACTTCTTGATCATCAGACTCTTTGAAGCCTCATTTTGAATCGTCTTTCGTATAAATCTTTTTCTTGAACACATAGCTCAATATTCATTTCCCCAGATGACGGTTTTCTACATATCAAGTTTACCTACGTTGCAAAACCAGAAGTCACATGACCCGGTTAGTAAGGAAATTGTACATGCACAATGTAGTCAGTACATCGATATTAACTCCTGCACGTCAGAAGATTTAAAAATTCTTGGAAAATTGACCCGGACTGATTATGAGTGAAATTTAGATCTCAAAATTCATCTATGATGAGCGTCAAAAAGAGAAATTTAAATGAACATAATACATCGGAGTTATTGATGGAATCCTCATCTGGCAACATTCGTTCCCCATGGACCGATAAATTTAATTCATAACGGGTTGTTTCTCCACCTCAACCAGTCATCAGCCTCGGTGTTTTTGAGCCGATTTTACGAACGAGACTCCAAAACACCGGAAGGCACACCCGTTTCAAAGTCGGCCCAGTTATTCCTTCTGAACAGTTCATTTAAATATTAGACTGAAGGATAACATCGGAATTCAATTCCTCTCACGGGTTGTTCTCTCCTGCAAGATTCCATACAAATCATCCCATTTCGAGCTTCGGTCCATTTTTTCTTCACATGCTGTCTCTCATTTTCGGATTTCATCGCTGCTTCCCTGATTCACACCAGAAATGAGTATACATTTAGTCTAGTGTGATTTACGCAGAGAACTCATCGTAAAGATTCATTGGAAATATTTCAACCTTTTGATTGTCCTTGCATTTGTGTAACGGAGAGAAGAGAAAAGATCGGGCGGGCGAGCCATCATTCAACCAGTATTCAATCACTTTAGTCTTATATGGTAGCTGATTTAAATGGTTATAAGAGCATGGATAGAATTTGACAAAAATAATTAAAATAAAATAATAATAATAATAGATCAAAATAAGACAAAATGAGAAATAGTGAGATTTAAGATTTTTTTAAAAAGATAGATTAAATCTTCCAAAAATCTTACAGTATAAAAGCTCAAGTTGAAAAAAGTTGAAAATAACATAAGATGTCAGCTCAGACAAGTGGACAAGTCTGGACTTAAGAAACATCAACGGAAAGTAGTTATCTCCACTTTATATTACTCTCACTAAGGAACTCAGGGAACCAGGCGAGAAGGGACAAAAATCCTTGCAAACCAGTAGCTTTAATTCAGAAACAACTCAATTTTAAATTGTCTTATATGACGTGGCAGTATAACTTAAATGACTTTACAGTAACATCTCTAAGGAAAATAGCTGTAGCTGCCACTTTGCAACGCCGCAGAAAGCACTGGGCGCGCAATTGAAAACGAAAGCAATTTGGGCGCTCGTGATGAAAACGGGAGGGGGGGGGGGGGGGGGTATCCGCAAGTTCTGTCAAATTAAAAACGACCGCGGATCAGTTCAGACGAGCTGACCTCAATGACCCTTATTTGAGACGAATAGAGTGGGCCAGCGGCTGATTAGGCCACCAACTTGCCAACCGGACGAGGAAAATTAGCCACGAACATATTCAGCAAAGAAAGTACGAACATACCCGAAGCCGCCACTTTCTCGTGCCCCTGAAATTGCAGTTTAATTATCAATGAAAACAAATAGACGAACCGGACCCGGGGCGAGGGAAGGACGAACAATAAACCATTTTTTTAATGAGCCTCTCTTTGCGTGGCGACCCGCAGCGGAACCCCTCAATTTTCAGCAGCTCTCTTAAGTAACAACCACGCAATCGAGATTTCCTTAGCATGTGTAGTTGTGCGGTTTCTTCCGCGTGCGTCGTGGTGTGTGTGTGCGCATGTCCACAGTGACTGGGAGACGACACTGTTGCTGGAGTTGGCATAACCCCTGGATATGTCTATTTACTATACCTAGATTGATACTGCCATCTGGCAACGACGGGTATAAAGCTGACCCAATTTGACAGTCGGCACATGCAAAAGGCGTGTGTGCCGCCGAATACGGGAAGCTCGTGGTTCCTGAAATTAAGCGATGAGTTTGCCAGATAGAATACTTTTCTTTTTTTTTTTTTACTGAGTCTTCTTTGAAGTAGAGTAATCTAAAATGACGATGCATTTTTCCGTGGATGTAAATGTTCCTTAAATTCAAAAGATCTATTCATCTACTTGAGCTGAGATATAAGCCTCTTGTATTGATTCTTATTTCAATCTGAGCAAGTTTAAGACAGCAATAAGGCTTAAATGCTATTAATTCGCACTTTTCATGGTAATTTGTTTCCTATATTTTTGGATATTATCAGGCGTACTTTATGTGAAAATTTAAACCATCGATAATCTTAATTTAGGGGAACTCATACCTACTAACTTCACTCAAAGCACTTCTCCCGGTGTTTTTCCTACCCTTGCATTCAAGTCCCTCCACAAAAATAGTGTACATTTGAGAGCAGCATCTTGTAACAATGAGCTGAATTTTCACAGATCATTGCACCATCGAAGAGACTGTCGTCTCCATGACGCCCACTTTAGTTTAAAAAGAAATTTCTCATGGTCACTCAATTCACAAACAGAAAGGTCTTAATAAAAATTGAGTTTTTTATGTATTTACGAGCCTCATTCATCAATATACATCGCACAACCCATTAATCATTAACTCATTTACTAATTACCAGATCCGCGGGAAAAGAAATAAAATTGGACAGATTTACTTGTTCGTCGCCTGAAATCTTTTTTATTTCATTCTTTGACACTGCTCTTGCGTCAAACGCATGATCCTCAGAGCGTAAATCTAACGTACGCAGTCAAATGTTGACATGAGTAATTTCCCACGAAAGCACCCATAATTTATACTCGAGCAAGTTTGATGCACGCGCGCGCGCGGTCCCGAGTCCAGCAGCGCGCTCTGGCGGGGCGCGGACGCGAGCAAAGTTGGGATCGACTTTATCCCGAGTTCGTCTCAAAGCTACTTTCTTTCACCTTA